ACTTGGAAAGAAGGGCAATATATGTGGACTGTAATGCCTCAAGGGTATACAGAAAGTCCCACTTACTTTTCCCAAATATTAAAAGCTGATTTTTTTTTTTTTTTTGAGACGGAGTCTCACGCTGTTGCCCAGGCTGGAGTGCAGTGGCGCGATCTCGGCTCACTGCAAGCTCCGCCTCCCGGGTTCCCGCCATTCTCCTGCCTCAGCCTCCTGAGTAGCTGGGACTACAGGCGCCGCCACCATGCCTGGCTAATTTTTTTGTATTTTTAGTAGAGACGGGGTTTCACTGTGGTCTCGATCTCCTGACCTTGTGATCCGCCCGCCTCGGTCTCCCAAAGTGCTGGGATTACAGGCTTGAGCCACCGCGCCCGGCCTAAAAGCTGATTTAGAGGATTTAATTTTCCCCAGGGCTCAACACTCATTCAGTATGTAGACAACCTTCTCCTTTGTTCAGACACACCATCTTCCTCCCATGAAGATAGTCTATATTTACTCGAACAGCCACCAAGAGACACAAAGCGTCCAAAGACAAACTTCAGCTATGCTTGCTGCAAGTTAAGTATTTGGGGGCATATTATCTCAGCCAAAGGACTGAGTATTAACCCTGACAGAGTGAGAGGAATTTTAGCTTTCCCAATGCCTGTCACAAACAACTTAGAGGATTCTGGGTCCTGCCTGGCTATTGTAGAAACTGGATACCAGTGGCCGGGCGCGGTGGCTCACACCTGTAATCCCAGCACTTTGGGAGGCCGAGGTGGGCGGATCACGAGGTCAGGAGATTGAAACCATCTTGGCTAACACAGTGAAACCCCGTCTCTACTAAAAATACAAACAAACTAGCCAGGCATGGTGGCGGCGCCTGTAGTCCCAGCTACTCAGGAGGCTGAGGCAGGAGAATGGTGTGGACCCAGGAGGTGGAGCTTGCAGTGAACTGGGATCGCACCACTGTACTCCAGCCTGAGCGACAGAGCAAGACTCCATCTCAAAACAAACAAAGAAACAAACAAACAAAAACTGGATACCAAATTTCTTCCTTATGGCTCAATCTCTGTAGGCATACCTAAAAAATGTACAACCTGATCCTTTCTTGTGGAGTCCTGAGGGACAATCAGCTGTACAACAAATAAAGGAAATTCTAACTAATGCCCCAGCCTTAGGGCACCCAAACTACAAACTGCCTTTCTCCCTTTTCATACACGAAACTGGAGGTACTGCCTCCAGGGTACTGATCCAGAAGCATGGTGATCATCAGAGACCTCTAGGCTATTACAGCCAACACCTGGACCCGGTGGTGCGAGGGTTGCCTCCTTGTGTGAGAGCAACAGCAACCATGGCCCTTCCGTACAAGTCTGTTGGAGAAATAATTATGGGTTCCCCCCTTCCATTTCTGTGCCACATTTTCTTGAGACCCTTCTAAACTCTCATCATACTCAATGTGTGTCTGTCAACCGGTTAGCTTCTCATCAAATTTTGCTTGTACCATCTTCCAATATTACTACTTCCCAGTATAATAATCTTAATCCGGCCACTCTCTTGCCAGGCCCTTCCCACAAGACCCCTCGTGACTGTGTTCTGATGACTGACTGACTTCTCACCTCCAGGACAGACCTACAAGAGATGCCACTGGATAATGCTAAACCAAAATGGTATACAGATGGCTCTTATTGAAGAGGAGAGGATGGAAATTTTGGAGCAGGATATGCTGTGGTTTCCTCACATGAGGTCAGGAGTTCAAGACCAGCCTGGCCCACATGGTGAAACCCCGTCTCTACTAAAAATACAAAAATTAGCCGGGTGTGGTGGCGGGCGCCTGTAATCCCAGCTACTTGGGAGGCTGAGGCAGGAGAATTGCTTGTACCTGGGAGGTGGAGGTTGCAGTGAGCTGAGATTGTGCCACTGCACTCCAGCCTGGGTGACAAGAGTGAGACTCCATCTCAAAAAAAAAAAACCTATTCAAAAACCAAAATAGTTGGCAACCATAAAAATCCCACGTCACTGTATATTAAACAACACAGAAGGTCAGGGTAACCAATTGGCTGACACCACAGCTAAAAGAGCAGCATTTGAACCAGCCCCAATCCAGGAAATGACCATAAAACCCAAAATGCTTAAAAACATGTGATAAGGTTTGGCTGTGTCCCACCCAAATCTTATCTGAAATTGTAGCTCCCATAACTCACATGTTGTGGGAGGGACCCAGTGGGAGATAACTGAATCATGGGGGCAGAGTTTCCCACGCTGTTCTCATGGTAGTGAGTAAGTCTCATGAGATCTGATGACTTTATAAGGGGAACCCCTTTTGCTTGGCTCTCATTCTCTCTTGTCTGCTGTCATGTAAGATGTGCCTTTCCCCTTGCACCATGATTGTGAGGCCTCCCCAGCCACGTGAAACTGTGAGTCCATGAAACCTCTTTTTCTTGATAAATTACCCAGTCTTGGGTATGTCTTTATCAGTCGTGTGAAAACGGAGTAATACAGTAAATTGGTACCAGTAGAGTGAGGTGTTGTTGTAAATATACCCAAAAATGTGGAAGTAACTTTGGAAGTGGGTAACAGGCAGAGGTTGGAACAGTTTCGGGGGGTCAGAAGACAGGAAAATGTGGGAAGTTTGGAACTGAGTAACAGGTAGAGGTTGGAACAGTTTAGGGGGTTCAGAAGAAGACAAGAAAATGTGGGAAAGTTTGGAACTGAGTAACAGGTAGAGGTTGGAACAGTTTGCGGGGCTCAGAAGAAGACGGGAAAATGTGGGAAAGTTTGGAACTCCCTAGAGACTTGTTGAATGGATTTGACCAAAATGCCGATAATAATGTGGACAATGAAATCCAGGCTGAGGTGGTCTCAGATGGAGATAAGGAACTTGTTGGGAACTAGAATAAAGGTGACTCTTGCTATGTTTTAGCAAAGAGACTGGTGGCATTTTGCCCTTGCCCTGGACATCTGTGAAACTCGAACTTGAGGGAGATGATTTAGGTATCTGGCAGGAAATTTCTAAGCAAAGAAAAGCATTCAAGAGGTGGCTTGGGTGCTGTTAAAAGGATTAAGTTTTTGAAGAAAAACAGGGTGTAAAAGTTCAGAAAATTTGTAGTCTGACGATGAGATAGAAAAGGAAAACCCGGCTGGGCACGGTAACTCACGCCCGTAATCCCAGCACTTTGGGAGGCCAAGGTGGGCGGATCATGAGGTCAGGAGATCAAGACCACGGTGAAACCCTGTCTCTACTAAGAAATACAAAAAATTAGCTAGGCGCGGTGGCAGGCGCCTGTAGTCCCAGCTACTCGGGAGGCTGAGGCAGGAGAATGGCGTGAACCCGGGAGGTGGAGCTTCCAGTGAGCCAAGATCACGCCACTGCATTCTAGCCTGGGTGACAGAGCGAGACTCCGTCTCAAAAAAAAAAAAAAAAAAAAGGAAAACCCATTTTCTGTGGAGAAATTCAAGCCAGTTGCAGAAATTTGCATAAGTAATAAGGAGTCAAATTTTCTGTTTGTTTGTTTGTTTTTTGAGACGGAGTCTCCCTCTGTCACCCAGGCTGGAATGCAGTGGCCATGATCTCGGCTCACCGCAACCTCCCCTCCTGGGTTCAAGTGATTCTCCTGCCTCAGCCTCCTGAGTGGCTGGGATTACAGGTGCCCGACTCCACTCCCAGCTAATTGTTGTATTTTTAGTAGAGACGGGGTTTCACCATGTTGGCCACGATGGTCTCGAACACCTGACCTCAAGTGATCTGCCTGCCTCGGCCTCCCAAAGTGCTGGAATTACAGGCGTGAGCAAGGAGCCAAACGTTAGTCATCAAGACAATGAGAAAATGTCTCTAGGGCATGTCAGAGACATTCGTGGCAGCCCCTCCCATCACAGGCCTGGAGGCCTAGTAGGAAAAAATGTGTTTTTTTGGTGCCTGGCCCAGGGCCCCCCTGCTGTGTGCAGTCTAGGTAAGGACTTGGTGCCCTGTGTCCCAGCCACTCCAGCTGTGCCTAAAAGGGGCCAAGGTGCAGCTTGGGTTGTGGCTTCAAAGAATGCAAGCCCTAAGCCCTGGCAGCTTCCATGGGATGTGGAGCCTCTGGGTGCACAGAGGTCAAGAATTGAGGTTTGGGAACCTCTGCCTAGATTTCAGAGGATGTATGGAAATGCCTGGATGTCCAGGCAGGAGTTTGCTGCAAGGGTAGGGCCCTCATAGAGAACCTCTGCTAGGGTAGTGCAGAAGAAAAATGTGAGGTTTAAGCCCCCACACAGAGTCCTTACTAGGGCACTGCCTAGTGGAGTTGTGAGAAAAAGGCCAGTATCCTCCAGACCCCAGACTGGTAGATCCATCAACAGCTTGCTCTGTGGCCCTGGAAGAGCCACAGACACTCAACTCCAGCCCATGAAAGCAGCCAAGAGTGGGGTATACCCTGCAAAGCCACAGGGCAGAGCCCAAGGCCATGGAAGCCCACTTCTGCATCAGTGTGACCTGGATGTGAGACATGGTGTCAAAGGAGATCGTTTTGGAACTTCAAGGTTTAATGACTGCCCCACTGGATTTCAGACTTGTATGGGCCTTTAGTCCCTTCGTTTTGGCTAATTTCTGTAATTTCGAATGGCTGTATTTACCCAATCACTATACCCCCACTGTATCTAGGAAGTAACTAACTTACTTTTGATTTTACAGACTCATAGGCAGAAGGGACTTGCTGTGTCTCAGATGAGACTTTGGACTGTGGACTTTTGAGTTAATGCTAAAAGGACTTTGGGGGACTGTTGGGAAGGCATTATTGCTTCTGAAATATGAGGACATGAGATTTGGGAGGGGCCAGGGATGGAATGGTATTGTTTGGCTGTGTCCCCACCCAAATCTCATCTTGAATTATAGCTCTCATAATTTCCATATGTTTTGGGGGGGATCTGGAGATAACTGAATCATGGGGGCAGTTTTTCCCCATACTTTTCTCCTGGTAGTGAATAAATATCCCAAGAGCTGATGGTTTTAGAACGGGAAAGCCTTTCATGTGGCTCTCATTCTCTCTTACCTGCTACCATGTGACTGGAGAAGCCTCATAAAACACGCAAACAGTGCAGATTTCAACAATCCTGAACCAGCAAACAGATGGTCAAGCAATCTGCAAACCCTGTGGCACATCTTTATCTGTTAGGTCCTCGTGTCCAGGTGCATGCTGATGAGAATACTTTCCACCAAATCCGGGCTGCCCTCCTAGAGTGATGGGAAAGCAAAGGGGTTACGTATGGCACAACCTGCAGTTCCGTTCACCAGGTAAAGGTGTGAGTAAAATGCTAGAAACAGAAAGCCACTGAAGAGTTGCCTATAGAGTCCAAACTCACGTAGAAAAGGCCTTGTCCCTCAAGGCTTTCATTGTCAGCAACAGATCTGGTATTGAGATTGCCAAGAATGATTACTCAACCATTAATTTTGCAGAGTAAGAGGAACCAATTTTTAAAATGAGGCTGGGTGTATGGCAGCTCTGAGCATGCCCACATTTAGTATGAAAATGAATGGCACCCCATTCTAGGAGACCTCTGCCTTTTCCCTAGAAAACCACATGATTATGAAAATGGATGGCACCCCCATTCTAGGAGACCTTTGCCTTTTCCCTAGAAAACCACATGATTCTTCCACCCCCTAATTAGAAGAGCACATAAAGTTAGAAACCCAAATTCCTTTGGGCACGACTTCTGTCCTAAGTGTGTGCTTTCGCTTTGCAATAAAAGCTTCTGTCTTTTCACTTCATTGACTCGGTCCTGAATTCTTTCTCACCATGGTGCCAAAAACCCCGGACACCAGCTGTGGCTGGCATCTCACAGGCATTGGTAGACCTTCTTGAACCCTCCAGCAATAGGTGAGGGACAGGAAGATGGCAGGGAGGGAGGCCAGGATGTCCTCAGGGGAGTCCAAGTAGGAACGCCCACTGCTGGGAAGGGGGCCTGTTGTCCAGTTGGTCACCCCTGAGCTGTCCTGGGAGATGGACATGTCTGTTCAGCTTCAGCCTGGCCAGGCTCGCGCACTGAGTGCTGCTTTCTTTGCTGTCTTCGCCCCCGGGTGGTCGTCATCATATTTCATCCTCTATGGAGGACATTTCCTCAAGTCCAGCGCTGGGTGGCCTGGGATAGGCCTAGGACGTCCATCCAGTTGGCTATAGCACCCCTCAAGAGCCTATGGGCCCAGCAATGGTCTGAGGGGCACTTCAAGGTGTGTCCAGCACAAGTCCTGTGCAGTGTGACACCCCACCAGGTGACTTCAGGGTGTATGCCTGCTGCCTGGACCCTGAGGGCAAGCATGCGAAATGACAACTCTCTCTTTGGGAACAAAAGGAGAAGCAGTTTTGGCATGACTTAGTTCCCAAGCTTAATTTTCCGTTTGGCATTGTGAGTTTGGGGTCTTGAGATTCTATTTTCCTTCCACAGCTTCTTTCTCTTTCCTCTTCCTTGTCTCTTCAGTTATAATTTTTTTATTGTTAATATTAACTGTCAGGAATTTCTGTTTCCAGAACTTGGCTGATTACATGGTCAGTGATTTCTAGGGCAGCAGGAGAAATATTTTAAAAGCTACTTTTAAGAAGCATTATTTTATTGGAGACGGTGTATTAGTTCATTCTCACGCTGCTGTGAAGAAACACCTGAGAAGAGGTAATTCATAAAGGAAAGAGGTTTAAGTGACTCTTAAGAGGTTTAAGCTCCACATTGCTGGGGAGGCCTCAGGAAACTTACAATCAAGGCAGAAGGCAGGTCCCCTCTCCACAGGGCGGCAGGATGGAATGAATGCAAGCAGGGGAAATGCAGACACAAAACCATCAGATCCCATGAGACTCACTCACTATCACAAGAACAGCGTGGGGGAAAACCACGCCCATGATCCAGCCACCTCCACTCGGTCCTGCTCTTGACACACGGGGATTACAATTCAAGATGAGATTTCGGGTGGGGACACAGCCAAACCATGTCAGATGGGTCACTGGTCTCAAAGTCCTGGCTGCAAGAAATCCTTCCTCCTCATCCTCCCATATTTCTGGGCAGGCACGAGCCACCATAAGCTACTTTAAAAAACAAAAACAAAAACAAAAACAAAAAAAGCTTGGCAGTGTTGGCAGGAAAGTTAAGGGATTCCTTGGGGGCAGGGTTGGCAGGTAAGTAGAGGAATTCCGAGGCTTACGTTTCCCCCAGGGCTGTTGCCTGCCAGGGGTTTGATGTGCCTGCCCTGAGGGCAGCCTGAGGCCTGACACCACCACCCAAAGCCTGGACTCTGGGAGTGTGGCACGAACTCAGGCAAACCCTCCCTTCAGAGAAAGGTGGGTAGAGGTGGGTGCCTGGATGGGAAGAGGGCTGCATCCCTCAAGCCAGAAGCCTGAAGCTGGCACCGGGTGCCTGTCTCAGCCTGGGTGGAATGGTGTTCCTGAGAATTCCCAGCGGTCTGGGGGAGGATCCGCACTTCCTCTCAGTGGGAGGTCCGAGTTACTTTGCTGGTTGAAGAAAAAAGGAAGCGCCAGGCCCTCGCTTCCGCTTCGTGAAAGGGGTGGGTGAGCAGGTCAAGGTGGGCTGTGGAATTCTTCTGTGTGCACATTGAATTTAGAACTTTAGTTTTGACCCATGCAGAAGTGAATATGCATGCTCTGAGAACTCATGAGAAAATCACCAGAGAAAATGAGCCTTGAGCAGAGTCCCAAGAAACCACAAACAAAACATCGGGTGCACAGCGGCTGCCGGTCCTGAGATGATGAGACACAGAATACGAATACGTCTGTGTTTAAAGGAATGAAAAGCAGTAAGGAGGAGAAAGCATCAGAACTGTTAGCGAGTACAGAACAGAAGCCAGTGAAACTCCCAGAAATGAAAATCCGGATAACTAACATTAGAAACAGGATGAATTGGCTAAAAAGGTTAGACATAGCAAAGAGCTGCAGTGATAAGAGGGCTGGACTGAATGATCCCACTTACGTGAAGTTCAAAGGCAAAGCCAAATGTGACCTAGAGACACAGACGTGCAGTAGAACTGTGAGGAAGGGCAAGGGACGGTTAACATGAGAGTCTCATGAGATTGTGATGATCTCCTGGGGAACCAGCATGCAGTGGGAAGGCCCTGGTGACACCTGAGGCCAGTGGGGCATTCTGGACTCGAAGGGTGTTGAGCAGCGGCCCTGGCCTCCACCCACCAGATGCCAGTGGTGGCCCCTCCCTGTGGTGATGACCCAGGCTGTCTGTGGACTTTGCAAGTTCCCCCGGGAGGAGGAAAATTGCCCCCAGATGACAGCCATTGAATTAGAGGTTAAGAGTGTTTCAATTGCTTATACTGTCTTTCTTAGGGTGGGCAGTGCATATGTAGGTATTAACTTTTTATTATTTAAAATGTCTACATATGCACCCTTTATTTTATGATACTTTTTCAGGAGTAAAATAATAATATACATTCTCTGGCCTAGTAACAGAATCCTACTGGATAAATGAATATGGAAAATAGTTTTCCTGGGAGCTTATAGCAGGGCTTCTCAATGTTGTTATTTAACTCCGTATTGAAAAATGTTGGCCGGGCACAGTGGCTCACATCTGTAATCCCAACACTTTGGGAGGCTGAAGAGGGCAGATCACTTGAGGTCAGAAGTTCAAGACCAGCCTGGCCAACATGGCAAAACCCTGTCTCTACTAAAAGTACAAGAATTAGCCAGCATGATGGTGTGTGCCTGTAATCCCAGCTACTTGGGAGGCTGAGGCAGGAGAATTGCTTGAACCAAGAGGCAGAGGTTGCAGTGAACCGAGATTGCACCACTGCACTCCAGCCTGGGAGACAGAGCAAGATTCTGTCTCACAAAAGAAAAAGGAAAAAGAATAAGAAAAAAGAAAACTATGTAGGAAGAAGAACTTTCCAAAAACAGCTTTATCTAGTGTGGAGACACACTTTTGTAGTCCCAACTACTCAGGAGGCTGAGGCAGGAGGACCACTTGACCTTGGGGGTTTGAGGCCAGCCTGGGCAACATAGACCTTGTTTCTGAAAAATAAACAACAAGGCAGGCACGGTGGCTCACGCCTGTAATCCCAGCACTTTGGGAGGCTAAGGTGGGTGGATCATGAGGTCAGGAGTTCGAGACAGACTGGCCAATATGGTGAAACCCTGTCTCCACTAAAAGTACAAAAATTAGCCGGGTGTGGTAGTGTGCGCCTGGAGTCCCAGCTACTTAGGAGGCTGAGGCAGGAGAATCGCTTGAACCCAGGAGGCAGAGGTTGCAGTGAGCCAAGATCATGCCATTGCACTCCAGCCTGGGCGATAGAGTGAAACTCTGTCCCCCCCCACCCCCCCAAAAAAGGGAAGTATATTAGGAAGAACGCTGCAAAAGAGTGCAGCGTGGCGCCTGAGAGAGGACTGAGCGCCCAGTGGTGGATTTTCCTTAGGAGCATTTATGGACCTTAAGGTTGGAGCTTAGGGTTGTAAACTGAGTTTCAGCATAGTATTCCAGAGATGTTTACAAATTTACTTATAAAAGTAGAAAGAGGCCTGGAATTGAAGCGGTGTCATTTGTCTGGGGTAATACCCGAGGTTTACAACGAGTGAGTTTAAGAGCGGCAGTTTTATAGGCAAAAGAGAAAAGTTCCCTTATGCAGAGTGAGGGGGTTTCTGAGAGGATTTCCCGCTTCGCAACGAGATGGTTTTATAGATGAGCTTGAGAAGGCGGTGTCTGATTTACACAGGCCACAGAGGATTGGCTGGACCAGGTGTGTCGTTTACGCAGCACTGGAAGAAGCCGGCCAACTCATCCTTTTATTATGCAAATCTTTTTATGCAAATAGGGTCTCTACCTAGGGGCACCACCTTGCTTGCTTTTTTACTGCACATGTGACGACAAAGAAAAGGAAAGGGGGGAAAGAAGTTCCAGGGCCCGTGCTGAGAAAGGGATAGGGGGACCAGGGGAAGACTCAGGGTGCGATGGCGGCGGGGGGACCAGGGGAAGACTCAGGGTGCGATGGCGACGCAAATTCCAGTTGTGGCACCACTTCCACTCCCGGAACAGTCCGAGCAGCAAGAAGAGGCCGGCCAGCCCTTCCCACGCCGGCAGCAGCCAGTAAGAAGAAAGCAGGTCCGCCTCCAGCTCTGTGCAGGGTATCAGCGTGGAAGCCAGGAGTGAGAATAAAGTGGTGCCGTCTGAGTTTAGCACAGGACCTGTGGAAAAAGCTGCCAAACCTTTGCCATTTAAGGATCCCAACTTTGTGCACTCTGGCCACGGTGGCGCAGCAGCTGCCAAGAACACGACCTGGAAGAACCTGAAACAAATCCTCGCTTCCCAAAGGGCACTGCCGTGGCAACCGAACGATCCCAACTACTTCAGTACTGATGCTCCTCCACCCTTTAAGCCAGCTAAGAAGAATTCTGATGTTCCGGGTCTGCCTGCCAACCACACAGACCCCCGAGCAAACTGCGGCTCGGCACCGTTGAAGAGTTTTCCTACATTCGGAGGCTGCCCTCTGAGGTCACCACCGGCCACCTGGCCCTGAGGAAGGCCTCGAGCATCCTTCCCTGAGCCCGAGAAAGGGAGATGAAGTGGAAAGCTGTTTCAAAAACAGACTCTGGACTCGTGATTTTGTTTCACGGAAACAAATCGTTCTGCTGTCAATCTGAAAATGCCAGTGCCGTGCCTTGGAAAGAATGTTTGGCTTTAATTTAAGGGTTTTTTTGAGTGTGTGTTTTCCCTCCAAGTGTGATATTTCCCGCTGAATTAAATTATACGTCAATTGTTGCCCCAAGTAAAGGTGTTTGACATGAAAATACAATAAAACTATTCATTTTAAAAAAAGAAAAAAGAAAAGGGAAGGGGAACTTGCATGTTGAACATACCTGGCTTCCAGCTATCCCTTTTCTATCGGCACAGCTGCCAGCATTCGCCTATGCAGGCTTCCAGCTGGCTTCTCCATGTCTGCAGCTCGATTTTACAGGCTGCTCTTCGTTGGAAAAGAAATAATTTTGGGGCAGCTTTTTGTTAAAAGGAAAGCCTTACTGAGGACTCTCTTACCCTAACTGCCTAAATGATTTCTTTTTAGTCCCTGTATCAGAATCAGATGCTGTCTTTAGATACTAGGGAAGTTCGATTACTTCTGAATTCTCCATATAATGAGTTTTGCCTCCAGATGGCCTGTTTGATGGTCACCAGGCGGTCTTTGCTCCCTTCTGAATTGCTCAGGTAAGAAGATTTGTCTCTGGAGCCTGTTCAACGGTCACCAGGTGATTTTCGCCCTCCTCACAGCCTGGGCAACATAGTGAGACCCCCATCTCTACAAAAAATACAAAATAGGCCGGGCATGGCAGCGCACACCTGTGGTCCCAGCTACTCAGAGGGGCTAAGACAGGAGGATCGCTTGAACCCAGGAGGTCTAGGTTGTAATGAACCGTGATTGCACCTCTGCACTCCAGCCTGGGAGATGGAGTCTCAAAAAAAAAAAAAGTTTTTCCGTGTGTTACGAATGTGCTCTCCAGCTTCAGTGTGACTGTTCGTTGGAGACTTGGGTATCCAAATTGTTTTACAGATGTAAATGTTAGTGGCTCTCATGCATGGCAAGTTTATGGTCCACTCTTTAAGTTCTATGGGGTTATCTTCACATCTGTGGCACAAGGCTGGTTAGTTTTACATTTGAGAAAAGTGCGTCTGGGGAAGTGCCGCTGCCATCCATCCCACAGCAGGCAAGCAGCCTCCTCCACACTCTCCTCTTCCTCTTCTCAGGCCTGGTCCTCTCCTTTTGCCATCTTTTCTTCCCTCACCCCATCTTTATTGTATCTGTCTGTCTCTAAACTAAACAATATTTTAATCGGTTGCATTTTGTTTTTACGTTGCCTGTTTTTAATATTCATGACGTTCCCTTCCTCTCCCACTTCCTGTCTTCTCCGCATTAAGTTCATCCTCTTTGTACTTTTACCCAAGTGCTTCCCCCACCCCGTTCTCCCCCACCCCACCCCACTTCAGGCAATTCTGAGTGGTGCAGAGGTGTCACGTCCATCTCC